GGCTCTGCTCTGGTATGAAAGCTGTTACTGAGCAGGAACTGTCTGGCACTTGGCACCGTTCCCTCTCGCTTGGAATCCCTTCGAGGGCATGGGGGTCCTTCCAGGGAGCACTGTGAGGCCGCCCGTCAGGATTCTCCCCCTGCTACGGTATCTTCAGGAAAAGTATGGACTGTGTAGGTCCGGGAGTGCAGGAGACAGATATGCGAAGGGCACATGCGCTTTCTCCTGAGGCACTTCCTTGAGGCTGAGGACTGGGAACCTTCATTCTAGACCGACAGAGAGGCGTGGTGTGGAGTCCCTGGCTTCACATGGTTCTTTGTGGAGGAGTCCAGGCAGGTACAGAACTGCTCAGTCAAAGGGCCCCTCTTTTAACTGTGACTCTCAGACTTTTTTGTTAGGGGCCTTTAACGGTATAAATTTCAGCCCCCACTTTCTTGCCAACACACACATAGAAATTTGATGATTGTGTAGGACAAAACAAGTAAGTGACGGTGATAATATTTCAGTGACATCTGTAAATGAAGTATATGGAATTAGTCACCAGCAGTATCTGTAAATCTTTGAAAAATATCAATGAATGTGTGTGTTTGAGACATTGATTATTCAATCCACGCCAATGTATACTCCACATGTGGGTTTTAAGCGTCTCGTGATCACCCATATACCGGCCGGGAACCTCTGAGTACCCATTGGGCAGTCTCTAGGACACCTATCTAGACAGTATCTCCCAAGAGGGGATTTGAGAATGAGTGAGAGGGACATTGGTTCTCAGTGGTGCTCAGACCTTGGTTTTCACTTACTTCCTTTCCGTGACACTTCCTCTCAGATGACATCCAGATAGTTGGTCCTGTCATAGGTGGTTCTCTGCCGGACATTTAACCTGCCTTTGGCAGTTGCCACAGTGAGGTGCCATTTTACAGATAAATTGCGGGAGAAAAGCCTTTTTTTCTTCTCATATATATTAGATTGATGTATTTTTATATGTTTTTAAAACATAAGTTTAAGTAAAACATTTGGATATAATAAAAGCCTACTAAATAGTTCCAGCAACTCCAAGAAATTTTTGATCTAAATACTTAGAACTACACTTTCCTTTTCAAGTTTTTAAAAAACTAGGCAGTATTTGAAGAAATAATAGGTGCCAAAGGTAATATAATATGTGAAAAGAGATTGTGTTTATTCAGCCTAGCCGGGAAAAGCAGTAAACATTATATATATTTCTCGGACCGCCAAGAAAATGTGATTTTTTTTTTTTCTGTGGACTGTGAAGTCATTTGAAAGCTATTTTCTACATCTTGAAAGTCACACATACAGAGACTTCCATTTCTGGCAATATGGTATACTTCCTGTGCTGGAGAAGAGGCCCCATACAAGACACCTATAGATCCCGGATAAAATAAAGCAAGCGGCAAATATCTGAACTTGTAAAAAAGTAAAAGTAATCCCTGGGATCCAGCAAACAGACCTGAAGCCAAACTGAACATCAGTGATGGGGTCAAGGTGAGGATGTGGTGCCTTGTAGGGTGGTTGTCAGTGTCGGTAAACCCCAGACTTGGTTTTTAATGGACAGAAAAGGAGACAAGCTCTGGGTTCTATACAGGGCAGGATGAAGCCGCATCCGCCGAAATGCTGGGACCCTGGAAAGGCTGTGCTCAACATGAACTCAGGGGCTAGAACTCATCTACATTTGGCAGATGAGATCCTCGGGCATTTAACTGTCTTGGGGTAATTGCTGGCTAGGGGAAGCGTTTTCCTTTGGCTTTGTAACCACAGTGCTTCCCTTCAGTGTTTTGGAGCTCAGATTTAAAATACTTGACTGACCAGAAAACCCCAAGGCAAGCAATCAATTTCAAATGGCCTTTGATTTATAGCTTCCCTGAGGGCCTGGCAGAAGCAAACACACAGGCTGTCTAGAGGGACTTAGCCTCAGTGTAGGGGTCACAGGACTCTAACAGGTAAGGACCACCAAACATGAGCCCCTTATCCCAAATTACAGAGACACCCAAGGGAACAAGGGCCACCGTAGGAAACAGGAACCACCAAGAGTAGAACTAGATACAAAAATCTGAAGAGAATGGTTTATCAGATGAAGAAAATGACATCCACGCCTAGAGTATTTTTAAATAAGCATAGCAACATGCGTAAAATATAAGATTGTATCCAAAAATTAAGCATAATTGAAAACCACCACATAAAAACTTATGGAAGTAAATATATGATAATGGAAATTAAAAATTCAAATGATCATATTAACTGGCAAGTTATTCAGACCACACGGGAATGGTGAAGAGAGGCTAAGAGACGTGAAACACAGCCTATTATACATCTAACTGTATTAGTAGACATCATTCAACAATAAATGAGAAATAGTCATTTGTAGTCAAATAAAAAGTTTACCCTCAACAGATCCTCAGAAGGTCAGATATGTAAGAAAGCAAGAAAAGTAAAGAAACTGAAACATGTGTACAGCCAAACCACACTGTATAAAATAGCAATAATTCCATAGTAGGCATTAAAACTCAAGATACAAGTAAGATGCTGCCACACATAACATGTGAGGCAGACGCACCTCCAGGGCGTTAGGAGGAGGGAAAAGCAGAAAAACTTCAGATTGTAGGAAAGGTACGCATAAAAATGTTAAGGATAACCATTAAAAGGAGAAAATAGATGTCATAACTTCTCTAATAACACAGGGAGAAATGATCAATCCTAACTATGCAAGAAAATGTCAGGGAAAAACTTAGAAAACAAGCAAGATCATAAGCAGTGCACAAAATAAAATGTAAGAAATATAGTCAGATATATTATTAATGACAATAGATATGAATAAATATATTCTATTATAGAAATATATCAATAAATGATAATATTAGGAAGCAAAATTTGCTATCTTAAAAAAAGTGATATAACTGGTTTAAAAAATCCAGTTTTATACTTAACACCTAAGGATATAGACTGTTTGAAAGTAAAAATATGTATTAGGTTGGTGCACAACTAATTGTTTTTGCAATTATTTGTAACCTCTTAAGCCACAATAACTTTTGCATCAACTTAATATATATATCAGGCAAATACTAATTTTATTTATTTTTTGCCTCTTTTTAAGGTCCGAGATATAATTGTCATATAATATTGTGTGAATTTAAGGTGTGGAAAGTGTGGATCTGACACCGCTATAGCTTCAGCTACCACCCCCATCATGTCACATAATCATCCTTTTTGGTGGGGAGAACATTTCAGATCTAGTCTTTTAGCAGCTTTGAAGTATACAGTACAGTACTGTTGACTATAATGACGATTCTTTGCCGAAACTCACTCATCTTTAACTGCAGATTTGTACCCTTTGACCAATATCTCCTCAATTCCCCAACCTCCCAGCAAATACTAATTTTCAAAGGCTCTTATAGCTATATTAAGACCAAATTAATTTTAAGGTAAAAAAGACTTATTGCAGATAAAGAAGGTCACTTCAAAATGATAAAAGGTCCTAATGTCCAGGAACGTAATACTTTTAAACTTACATACAGTCATCATGTACCTAATGAGAGTCTCGAATTTGTAAAAGACAGAGACAGGATTACAAGAATGCACTGGGCTTTGGAGTGGAAAGGGGCAATTCTTTCTGGGGAGCTCTGTGGCCGTTCCTGGGAAGGTGCGCCCACTTCTCTGCGTACAGATGGAGGGAATCACACTCACCTGGTTGAGGCACACACGTGCCCGTGTGCTCAGAGCCACGCTACCCATCACTGGAGGACGTGTATGGACAAGCTGGCACAGCCGCTGAGTGTACCACCGACCACACAAAGTTAAACATGAGTGAGTGGGGGCTAGAAGCTCGAAAAGATAATGTTGAGGAAAAAGACGTTTCAAAACAGCTCGCAAAGAATGCATCCGGTATGATACTGTTTACATAATTTTAAAAGGCAACATAATACTGTCTTGTGGAGAGCTCCGTCGTACAAATGCACTGAAAATACAGAGGAAGGCAAGGGGTGATGGGCCCGTTTCCGGGACAGTTGCCATCTCTGAGGTGGAAGGGGCTGCAGTGAGGGTTGCTGGGGGAGGAGGGAACGCCCACACTGGTGTTGGGTATTTACACCCCGTTTTGTAGGTGAAAAATTTTACAATATTCTCTTAAATACTAAGGAGAAAATATAACTTGTCTACACAACATGAAATTAAACATATACTATACCTCAATCCAAAAAATGTGTTTCTGAAGATATATTTGAAAATAAATCTTATTGCCACTTTGAACAAATCATTTTATAGATGCACTAGTTAGTAACTGGCCAGCTGTTTCAAGGGAACAATGCTAAATTATGCAATTCATTCAAAGGTAAAAAGATGGTGATATAATAAGTTGCTGGTATCAAAGATGCCTCAGGGTTTGGACATTTTTTTCTTTTCCTAATTTCTTTTCCTAAAGAGTCCGTGATCAACAATAAAAATGCCGCATTTTAAAAAGTAATTTAGATTTTATAAAACACCCTACATAGAAAAAAGATCAGACCATAGAAAGGCAGATGTCAAAATCACAATTGAACTCCAGCTGTTTACACTAACCCCCAACTCGGTTGAAAGTTTGGATCTGATGTCCCCATTCCCAAGAATCCTTCCAAGACGGTAACCAGTGGGTACCATCTAGGTCAGGGTCCCAGACTTCCTTGGTCCGATGCCTTTAGGGCGGCCGTAAATTGTTCTGACACCCAAAAACCTAAAGAGGACTTCAGTCAGGAAGTAGTGAGACCACGGCAATCACTCAGAGGCCAGCTTTCCAAAGCTGTGACTTCAGGACAGACCTGTGGATGTCCGGGGTGGGACGCCCTGAATCCGGAGCCGTCAGATCGCCCGGCCCAGGTGAGGACTGTTATTTTCTCCGTAAACAGATTGATGCTGGGTGGCGCCCGGTGGGCACCAGATAAAATGCGCCGTGGTCCTCTAGGCCCAGAGCGCGCTGTGCTGCAGGGACTCACAGGGTGTCTTCGTTGACTCTGCAGGAGAAGCCGTACAAGTGCTCCGACTGCAGCAAGGCCTTCAGCCAGAAGCGCGGCCTGGACGAGCACAAGAGGACGCACACGGGGGAGAAGCCGTTCCAGTGTGATGTGAGTGGGCGTGCCGCCGCCTTCCCGCGTCCTCCCGTAACGCGAGGCGTTTGTGCGCGTGTGTGTATCTGCACGTGTGCGTGTTTTGCATTGCTCGTCTGTTTACACCTTATGATTGCATAATCCACGGAACCACACTAGATTTATTCATCCTGGTTTACTGGCAGCAAGTTAGCTGATTTTCTTTAAGAGATGCGTGTACCCTGTGTCAGGGCAATTGAGTTGTTTTTCCAAGGTGAACGCATGTTGAGTCCAGGCAGTTCCCACATGATGCCCAAGTCTGACAGGTTCATGACAGTTAAACCGGAGATCTAACTGGTCACAGATTTTATTTATTCTGTTAGAGCCAAACAATGAATTTCGAAAGCATGCATAAACTCCTTTGTTTAAAAAATGGTACTGCAGACTGTTTAGAATTCCATGTTATGACATTTGAATTGAAACAAAATTATCGACCTAGTTTTTTTCATTATTTATGAAAGGGAAAAAAATACTCCCATTTTCAGTAAAACAAATCTGAGCATTGATTGATTTAGGGAAAAAAAAGGCTTCTCAATGAACAGTGTCACCATTCTCCTGTGACATCCTGATAGTTGTGTTTGGGGAAACACTTAAATGCTTGCTTCTATAATATACAAATAACAGAAAGAGGAGCTTGAAAGCTGTAATGTGTGGAACCGCACAGCACAGCACCCCTTTACACGCTGACGGAAACTCGAGTAGGGAGTCCCATCGGCACGCCCCAGATGACCAAGTGTGGGGCAGGCCGTCCCTAGGAAAGGAAGCTCACAGACACACGATGTTTTCCTTGTCCTTCAGGGAAACTTCTGTGGTGAGGTTAAGGCAACAGTGGAGTCCCGGCAGGCCTGCTCGTAAAAATACCTTCATCAAAGCAAACTTCTTTAAGGAAAGACTACCGTGGAGACAGAAGTGTGCCCGGCGGGGCCTGCCCATGGCAGAGCTTTGTTTTGGGATTTATTATGTACTGGACTAGCCCCTCACCTCCTGTGCCTTTCTGAGTTTCTTGCTGCTGTGAATGGAAAACCCTCCTGCTCCATACACAGCGAGTGCAAACTGTTTGTCTGCTTCAGTATTTTCACAGGCTTCCTCTCATTCAGAGCCTCGGGTTTCCTACCAGCAGTTTTGGAGGCCTGGCCTCTCTCATTAGGCGTCGCATGGTGTTTTCACAGCCTCCAATATGCCTTATTCTACCAGTGGATGTGCTCTTGAAGAAGTTCATGGAATTTTTGTAAATAACACCAAACTTTGAGTGAAACTTCAGTTTTAAAAGATTTCCGCTTCATTTCCATTTATGAGCTGAATAAGGCTGCCTCACGTCTTCTTGTGTTGATATAATATTTTCAATTATTGGGCTGTCGAATGTGTGTTGAGCTAGGTGGCGATGTGCTAGAGCTGACATGAAGTAACGGTGTTCGTTTCCTTAGTTAAATGAGGTGATACACTAAGAAATAAAGAACTGGAATAGTGGGTAAGGATCCTGAGGGCATGTTAACCTTTTACTTCACAAATAGGATGAGGCTGAAGGGTCACTGGTGGGCATGTCTTATGCCCTCGAGGCCACAGGCATTTTGTGTAAGAGGGTTAATAGGAAATTGTGACTACATTCCACCACGGGGAGAAAGCTGCTGTTTTCCGGGGTGGTTTTTCTAGAGATATTTAACTACTATAGCTGGGGGAGGGGGGTGGTTGGGGGCAGAGACACATATTAAGTGCAAATCACTCTTGGGAACTATAATTCATTTGCTTTACCCTTTAGTTTGGAGTTAAATTCCATTTGTTTCAAGACATTTTTTTTCCTTTGCCCGTTAGTACATCCCTGATAAGAGGAGCTGGCTAGTGTTGACTGTATCATGACACACTGGTGTGGGTGCAGGTTTTCCGGCGGAATATGACGGTTCTCTGGGTCCCTTCCAGGTGTGTGACTTGGCTTTTAGCCTGAAGAAAATGCTGATCCGACACAAGATGACTCACAACCCCAATCGCCCGCTGGCAGAGTGCCAGTTCTGCCACAAGAAGTTCACCAGGAACGACTACCTCAAAGTGCATATGGACAACATCCATGGCGACCCCGGCAGCTGAGGTGGCTGCGCGGGACGAGGCCGCTCGGAAGGGCCAGCAGGAAGCCCCGATTTCTGCCGCCTGATGAGCACGGCCGAGGTTGCCAGCGCCATTCACTGGCCTCACAGTTCTTCTCTGCCTACCTTTATAGTCTGTAGATACATGTGCAGAAAGAAAAACCCTACTTTTCTCAAGAAATGGTACAAATGGAAAAAATTAACTTTGTAGCCTTGCAAAATCCTACTTGTGCTCTGCTTTACAAAAATGGAGTCATGACTCTCCTTGGCCGTCTCCTGTACTGAAGTTCATTAACATACTCCCTATAAGCCTCTTTATTTTATTGTTACCCTTGTGTGTGAGTGTATGTGTGTGCACATGCGTGCGTGTGTGTCACTGTGGCCGGTTATTATTAATTTAACCATAAAGAAATGAAGACTCACTGCACATAAGGATAGGGGCAAGAGTTTTCAAAGTCCCAAGCCTAACAGGATAAAACCTGCTACTTTGTGAAACAACCCAAAAGTTCATCTTTAACAGCTCCCTGCAACAGGTCAGTTTAAAATAAAGCGGTATTTAAGAATGAAAACACCAATTAATATACTACTTTTTGGACAATCCTTAGGAAACATTACTTGTTCTCATCACTGGGATGCAGACATGCA